CTGTGTAGATCTACTGACATAGAGTTCACGTGGGTATCGTAGGCACAGTATACGGCCACTGTGCATTACAGTAGGGGCGTTCAATGAGCCTCACCCTCCACAGCACGGTGACCTGCTACAGAGCAGTGGTTAGTAGCGCTAGCACTTTCCAAAAGAGTGGGCTAAGAAATTTTCATATATTCCCCCTAGAATCTTCGTCAAAATGTCATCCCTTTGTATCATCTGCGTAGTGGAGATTGATCAGATCTGCTGACCAGTGGGGAGGCGGCCAACAGCTGGGCCACACTTTGCAGTGGAACGAGCGCCGTATTTACATTTCACCCAGGGGAAGGTGCCCGTCCAACAAACCCAATCCACGATGAATGCTTCCGCATTTACCAGCTCTCCAGGTATGACGGGCACAGCGGTGGAGGAGTTTCTTGTTTCTGACGAGTTTTACTTTCTCCTTTTGTGCATCTGCCCGTAACACTTGCTATTGGCACTTTCTTTATTAGAAGGGGAGGCACGACAATTGTTGACATGCCAAACAAGGGTACCACTTTTCCGGAGCGCATGCGTGTTATAGAAGTCGTGGTGCACGCGTTGAGATCTACGTTCAGTGCCATGATGACAAGGTGATAGGCTATGGCCCAACTGCGGGAACGCAAACAGAAGCTGTCAATGGAATGCGACGCCGAGGAGTATCAACCCTGGGAGAACAGTACCCCATCAGTGGATCTGGAACTTCTATACATACGGAATTCGCGGGGTTCCAGCTTGCAGACTCATGAAAAAAGTTGAGGAAGCGGAGAAGAAAGATGCGGAGCGATACCGCTACGCGAACAAAAACACAGAACACAGGAAATGCCAGTTCATCCGTGGAGCGTGCGGCGCAATGATGGGGCCGAAAGAGGTGGCACCCGCATCTGCAAGCTCGCTTCGAGTCAATTCTGTGCATATTGAAACTCTCTTTAATGGGTAGATGCTGCTAGCGCTACTTTATACTGGCTGCAAAGTGGACCTGTTACTCAAAACTACGGCGAGGAGGTGCAACTTATCCGTCTACTCGTATTCGCTGCGACTACGCTGCGTATGTGGAAGACAGCGATTACGAATCTGCAAACGTATGGCCGTAAAATGTGAATTTTACGCCCATAGTTGCACCATCTTATCATGGTGTGGGACATCCGCTCCAGACCAGCTCACCACGAGTAATTATAGGCAGGCCGATGGCGACCCAGTGTAGGGCGTGCATGCGGACCCCAAAGGACGGCATTGGCGTCTACGAGCCGGGAAGCAGTGAGTGTGCTCCTCCCAGCGCTACCAACGACAGCATTTTGCAGCCTATACTGGGTCAAAAGCGATGCCCGAAGGAAAGAATAGCGAGGGAACTTCTACGCAGTGCAGAAGTGCTGCATTGAAATACAGAGAAAAGCATGCTATCTGTTGTGATGGTCCTACGAAGACTTCGCAGACGCCCTTTTGCAGATCCCACTTCATCTCGACAACAGCACAAGACAGCTTTCTACACACGGACCCCCAAAGTAGAGCATGCCTGTGCCTTTTGGGGTTGGGAATGCACTTGTTGAACTTCAGAGACAGGTCAATAACGATTTCTTAGGGGCAATCAGTGATGGATGAATGGTCGTGTGTTGACACTTTCAAGTCCTCCACAGCGTGGGCCTGCTCTCCACGCTTTGTGGCCAGTTCACCGCTCACTCCCCCAGGGAAGCTGATCACTGGCAGCGGCTAAATATATACTCTTCACTAGCTTCGGACAGCGCTTCCGAAAACTGGTTCCCAACCCAGTTGATCACCCGGAGAGCAGTCCTTGAGCAGTGACCACGCCACTGCGACGCCTCAGATAAGGCCAGTGGGCCTGTATCTGCAATAGTACGGCAA